TCTGCAAGGGTAAGTTGGAATGACTGTATTTCCCCTATTTTTATTCATCATGCAACTCATTGAGAAACCCGAGTGTCGTGGCCTTTATTCCCATTTTTATAGATTTTCCGTTATAAAATAAAATATCTTGGAAGGCAGTGGTAGTGGTAGTGCATAGTGGAAAATGACCTTTTCCTGGCCATTCTTATTCTGACCGACGCATCGATACAGTCATATAAGCTGTTTAACTACTTTAACTACTCCTACTCTTTTTAACCCTCATCCGGGCAAGCTTTTTTACAACCAATTCCGGGCAAGGTGAGTCTGTCAGACTTATGTAAAATAAGGCCGGTTGCTGCGGTTACGGTATGTATTCTTATAAATAACAGTACTGTAACTAAAATAATAGACAATTTATTCAATGGTCCTGATAGTTTAAAAAAATAATGACAGTAATAGACCGAAATATGTCGTAGTGAGTCCAGCGGACTCACCTTGCCCGGATTAGGGTTAAACGGGAAGTTCCCCTGCCCCCCCCCCTCCCCCCACTCAACGCTACGCCGCTGCAGAACTGGAAAGGAGGAAATATGTGAGACTAAAGCACGAGCAGCATCTGTCCTTGACGGGGGAAGGGGAAACCCACCTCACCGGTTTTTTCTTCCTTCTTCCCCTCACCACGAAGTATGGACGTGGATATACGAGGTGTGGCTATTGTGTTTCCAGACTGGTTTGATTGCTCAACTTTGAGAGAGAGGGGGGGAGTGGGGATATGATTGTAACATGAGGGAGAGCCTTAGCTAATAACTGGGCAAGTTTCAGTGTGGTCTGACCAGTGCGCTGCGAGCTGCGGCCGTTAAGGTAGACCGTATTTTGTGTGCGCTGGCGGATTTGAAATGGAGCGTATTCTCGAGCAGAGAACTAATGTAAAATTTTGGGTAAACAGTCAACCAGGTGTTGTACATGAACGTTTTGAAGAGGTTGCGTGAGGCCGTGAGAAGGAGAAGCGGCGATCGGTGGAAGGAGAACTCGTGGATCCTGCATCACGATAACGCGTCGGCTCACCCAGCGCTGTCTGCCCGGGAGTTTTTGGTCGCCAAACGGATCACTGAAATGGATCACCCACTGTATTCACCCGATTTAGTCCCCAGAGACTTTTGACTGTTTCCCAAACTCAAAAAATTTTTTGAAAGGCCACCGATTTCAAAGCATTGAAGACTTTCGAACAAATATGACGCAGGCTCTGAAAGACATCTCGAAAGAAGACTTCCACCGCTGTTTCCAGCAATGGCAACATCTTTGGGATAAGTGCATCAGTTCTGGAAGGGAGTACTTTGAAGGCGATGAATGTGATTAATTTGTAAGTTTAAAAATAAATTTAAAAAAATAAAAGTCTGGAAACTTAATAGCCACACCTCGTATCTTTCCTATTCTTCCCTCTTTCACACCATGCGCAAAACCTGACTCATAGGCTTATGCATTTAGAGAGAAAACGACTGGAAACATCCTGCATGAGGATGAAAGGGAAATAGCAATCATTTTAGCAATCACTCTTAGTTTATATCATGAACATCACTAAATCACTTTCTCATAAGTCGTCAAAAACAGCAACACATACCAATTCATTTTTTTTATGGAAAAGAGTTTTTAGTTTATTCTTTAGTTCGACCATAACCATAACCTCAGCCAGTGAATACCAAGACTTCTCCTGCTCCCGTATTTTTCTTTCCCAGGCCCGGGTGACCCTGGGTCACTTTTTTGTGAGCCTGCAACTTAGGCATTTTTATTCCTCTGAGGCGATGGAAGGCCTTGTTTGTAAAGGCTCATGTCATACGTGCAATTCCCTATTTCAAAGTTGTCGGCCTACAAGTTTCGAACGATGAAGCGGTATTTTAAAATGGAGCACCATGGTCGAAACGGAGCACCATGAGCCAATTTCCGTCAAAAATGTTGAATGGTGAAACGGTTCTCAATGTTAAAGATTTAAAAGATCGTATCTTTGCTTCGGTTACCACCATAACCCCTGACATGCTGAACAATGTGTTCCGGAAAACAACCGATCGATTGCAGTTATGTATCGATTTGGAAGGTCGTCATGCGGAACTTCTGTATAAAAAAAAACCTGTTAATAACTGTACATGGATGAGAGATGACCGGAAACTGAATTCACACTACCCATTCCTAATAATGAGTTAAGTTTAGTTCGGTGTATAGGGAATTTTTATGAGAGCCAGATTTCGCGATATAACGGTCTTGCACAGTTTCCTGTGCTACAGACACGCTTCGCCACCCTGTCCTCATACACAAAATGCCCTTTATTCGGAGCCGTTCCACCTGAAATTACTTTCCTGCGCAGCCTTGGCGAGGGGTGCCTCTTTGAACTCTTTGACACCTCTTTCGCCATAATTGCGATAGTTCGTTATGGCACCGCAGGAAATGCCTAAAGACTCATGCAGTCGTGACTCATGTGGCGGCAAGTTGGGTGAGAGGAATTAGTCAAGCTGGAGGGGCTTCCAGAACGGTACGCGTTTGTGCTTCTCGAAAAGCATGAAGCAGCCAGCATTGTGAGCAATTCGATTTTCATTACAGCAGCGTTTTTCTATCGTCGAAGAATTTCGTTGAAGAATTCGCCATTTCGCATGATTCTTTAAGCATTTCCTGCGATACCACAACGAACAATCGCAACTACGGCGAAAGAAGGCCTTCAACAGCAAACATCACGGAAAGACTCGGAGGGCTATTTTCAAATGGCACACCCTGCACTTAAACAGAGACCACAGAGACCAGGAGTTCTCGAGCTTGAAGGCCTACGCGGATTGCAGGCCAGCCAGATCAGCCCATCAAGATTCGCGTCTCGGAGCAGCAAAGCTCGGTGGACGATTGAGTTCCGGGTCTGATGCTTGCAACGATTCGAAACGAAACGGTCGAGTTTCAATTTGGAAAAGTCGACCCGTGCAGGCCTCCAATGCGCACACAGGAGGACGCATTGCAACAAGTTGGGGCTCGTGGGTAAAAAAAATTGAATAGGCAGCGGTGGCGCATACGGGGGGAGGCTACATCAGAGGGGGACGTATATCCGTCCCCTCCGATTGTGGCAGGCACATATTCCCCCTCTTTCTCTACCTCGCTCACTGCCTCCCCCCCCCCCCCAGGGAGGTTGGCTGAAAATTTTCGAATTTTTCCGTTCAATAATTGAAGAGTTCTCTATTTAAAAAAAGAGCGTATGTGCAAAAGATTCAATTCAAGATGAACGGTAAAACCTTCCCATTGCTAATCTAAAGCTGGTCAGCACTCAATTATCAGTAAGATGGTATATTAGACCTTTTCCAATTGAACTTGAGGTTTCAACGAATTTATTTATCTCACATTGCTGGGATGCAGCGAGAAAGTGTGTATGCACATACGCCTTTTTTCCATGCCCACACTGCTGAAACTTTTTCCAAGGAGTCTTTCACCATTTCTTTCTAGTTAAAAATAATAATTAATCAATGAATACATCTACAGATTTCAAATAAACTCTTCCTTGAAGAATAGCAGTGACAATGTGAATAGTCAGGACACGTTCCATTCACCAAATACTCAGCAGTGATCCATTATTAATGCATTCATCAGAATCTTCAAATATTTCATTGATGTCTGCAACTTCTCACATCCTTCCAGAATCTTGAATGACTGGGCCTCTTTCTTTCCTTTTTTTGTGTTTCGTTTCTTCCTCAATTTCACTTTCAGTTTAAAAAGGACGACATAATTCCACCAAAATCGTTCAGCATGCAAGTTCTAATGGAATATTTATGGAGGCAGCCATATTGAAATTACCAGACAGTTGGCCTGCTATTTATTGAGAGCATAGAAAAATCTGCTTCTCCTTTGCTGAACACGAATCATAACTACTAGCTGATCACCCTACCCTATGACTAGTTACCTAAAGCAGCACACGGACAAAGATATGGGATATGGGAAAAGGGCGTATGGGCACATACACCCCTTTTCCAGAGAACTCCTCAATAGTAAGTTCATTTCTAACAATCAGAACTAGCCATCAAGGAAATTGCCTCAAATAGGAAAATTTTAAATAACATGAAATATTTAAATTTAAGGCGACGATTAATGAAATTATACCATTGGGAGGCACCCCAGGAATGCGAATGACTGTCAAAACAAATCACTGGGAAACCGTGCCCTCTTCCTAGAGTGAGCATCAATCATAGTGGGGTAGGCAAGGGGAGCCGGGACCCTGGGCCTGTCCGGAACGATTTCATATTCAATATGCATGAAAGTACTATAGAGTAGGACCGATTAGACGTGACAACAATCGAGGCTTCAACAAGCAAGTGCTTCAGAGCGGAGGGCGCGAGCAGGCGATTCTCATTCGTACCTTCATATGCAAGGAGTTACTATGCAACGTAGGCAAGCCTAGCCGGTCTCATTCCTAGACGGTTCTCGTCCTTCTCTCCCTCTTCTCGTTCCCGCATTGGATTCGTGGGGATTTGATCATAGCCAGCGTAGGCTAGCAACTCCGTACCTACTCTGAACACAATCTATTGATAATACGACTTTTACCTTGCAAAAGAAAAATGTTTCTTTCCAGCCGTGTTAATTGACTAATAAATTGGCAAAAAGAAGTTTCAGAACCCCGTTTTTTAAACTGGGTAGGCATTGCCTACCCTGCCTACCTTGACAAGCCGCCAGTGATAGCAGCAACGTCCGCAGAGGACTTTTTTTTAACTTTTGACTCAAAAAGTATAAGCGCCAGGACCTAAGCTTTCCGTCGACACCTCACTCATGAAATCCCATCATCCATCTTGTAGGAGTTTCCCGGAATGACAGAATGACAGACTGACAGATCAGCCTATTATGGAAAATGATATGATTTCCAAAGGCTCATGTGTATATCATTCACACATTACCTCTAATTGATTAACAAACCAATCATGACAATCAGTCTTCACTCAAAGTCATCACATCAAAGTCATTCTTCGAACAAAATCAGCCTTCTAATCATGTTTCGATCCCGATTATACAGGATGGAGAGAAAACAGGGAAATGGACTGCAGGATCCAGTCCAGAATGCGAAGCGTCCTGAGGTTAGTTAACTGTCAAAATATCTCGTTGAGGGGAACACTTTCCGAAGATGTCTTCCCTTAAGCAGGTGCTGCAAGAGCACAATTGTGAGGATATGAAAAAGTTGGCTTGTGTGAGGAGGCTGGAAAGGATTGACGCGGTGGATCCTCGACAGAGTGACAGGATGAAGGTTCGCCTCGGTGGATACGAGGACTTCCCTTTCTGTGAAGGTGCCGAGAATTATCAAAAAGAACACTATCCCGAAGCAGAGAAACGAGCTTATTCGTTTCCTGCTGGATACGTCATCAAAGGCAAAGAGCAGGAGGAACTATTTAAGAAAGTGCAGACTACAAAACCAACCGAGAAAATCGATGAAAATTTAAAAATTCCAAAGCAATTCACAGCAGAAGCCAAAGTTTTTGACTACCTCAAGGAGGAATTGACCAACACTCCTAGTTTCATCACATACGGGTATGATTTCAGCACAACGTTCTACAAAGCAATGGGGATCGCAGGCAAATGGACGAAAAAAGGAGAGACGCATTGGAAGAGAAAAGGTTTTGATGTCTTGCGAGGAGAACTTGATGTATGTGGGATATTCTTCGACGGGAGTCGAGTTTTTCTTCTCCTATTTGAAGTCAAGAGTATCAAGGGAACAGATAACCAGCAACTTCTGAAAGATCGTGCTGAGGGAGCCGTTGATCAGCTTAAGAAGTGCGAACAAGTTCTTCGGCAGATTTTAGGAGCTACGACTTTTAGTGACATTTTCATCTGCAGCTTCGTCGCTTTCCCGTATGTGTCGAGGAGGGACGTTGTTGCTTCCTTGAAATGTGATTGCAGTGCGAATATTCTCACAGAGGACGACCTAGAAGCGCGGGGTACCTTCAGGAAATTCCTCGAAAGACATGAAATCACTCTAACGAGGCAGGCGACAATAATTCCAGCAGCCGAGGAATGCTATTTGGATGTGATGAGGACGTACTTAGCAGCCTCGGCATCTGTGGAATGCATGCCAAGAACAATAGGAGATCTCCACAAGAATATCGACGAAAGGATGCAAAAAGCCTTGGTTCTTCTCACTCCTCATCAAAGGCAGATTTTGAATGAAGACCACTCTGTTCTTTTCCTGACCGGGGGGCAAGGTACGGGGAAAACCTACCTGCTCCTCAATCGAGCTGAACGATTGGCAAGGATAGAGGAAACTGTCATCATCGTGAACATGTCAGAGGGAGAGCTGACTCAGAAAATGAGAGCTTGGCGTGAGTTGCCCGAGTTCCAAGAATTCAAGGACTACGTAACAATCATGGATACTTTCGAGTTTATTGGCTGTGATCGTCGAGAATTCGACCTTCTTCTCGATAAAATCAATGATAAAAAACATTGTCATGTTCTCATTGATGAATTGCAGATCAACTTCGGCATGGAAGGAAAGGATGCATTTGAGATCGGAACAAGCTGGAGAAACCTTGCTGATCAAAAAGAATGTAAAAGTCTTTGGATCAATTGGCGTCCGAGTGATACCACTTACCCCGAGACTCTTGATATCCAGGTGGTTTTGGATTCCTTGGCTCGAGAAAAGGTGGAATTGCTCATGGAAATAAAAAGAAACACGAAAGAACTCGCGGAGTTTGTGATCGAAGTATCGCGGTTCATTCAGAAGAGATTTCCGTGCTTCGATTACCTTCCGATGCAAGGCCTAGAGCATGGATTCCATGAAAAGGATGACCCTCTTCGAAAAAACCAAATACCCCAAGTTGTATTCGTCCAATCTCCTCCGACTGAAAATGAGTTTTACCGATGGGTTTCAGAGGTTGTCATGGAGATTTCATTGTGGATACCGAATTCCGGACCCCTTACCATCATCACCGGAACAGACAGAGAAAGGAATGAGTTGGTACGGGAACTTGGAAATCGACTGGGTCAAGGAGTCGCCTTCCTCGACTCCCAAGGGAACCTCCTAAGACACCCTCAGCCCCGATTCCTCTTCTTCTATCAAAAACCCCAGCCCCGATTTCTCGTCTTCTGTGAATTACAGGTCACTGGGATGTCATTCCAGAATCTCATTCTCTTGGATGATGGGAAAACCCCATATGGATGTTGGTCTCGTTTGGTGGGGATGGCTCGAGAGTCCCTCCATGTGATCACGAGAGACCCACTGCCCTCCGGGCACTGGGAAGAACCTGCCCAAATGGGACTCATCTCCTGCTGCTCTTTCAGAAAACCTAGGTCGCCTTCCAGCATGTCTCAGAACCCTTTGCAGGAGTCTTCCCTTATGAAGATTTCGTGGACCAATTTCCTAGAAGAAACCTCTCCCCCTTTACCCGATACCGAAATTGAGGAATGCAAGTTTGAGCTTATCTTCGGACCGAATCGTTCAGGAAAAACTGCAATTCTTTTCAACAGGCTGAAGAAGAAATCAGAACAGGAAAATGAGGAAATGCTGAAGTCTGAGGAGACTTCATCCAGGTGGAAAACGTCGGAAGGCTGCAAAGAATCCGAAAAGGGGGAGCGCAAGCATCGGATTTTGTTTGTGGACTGCAGTAGATGGAGTAAGAATGGCTATCCTCCAAACCTCTTTCTGGTAGACGCGAAAATAAGGTTAAAGAAGAGAGAAATGTTGAACGTGGTCGAGGTCTACGACGTCCACGACCTCATTCGACAGCATTGCATGGAAGAAAAAGTTTCTCCAGACCCCCAGGTCTTGAAAGAACTATTGGTGAGGATGTTGGAAAAGGGCATGAATGAAGGACAAAGATTCCACTTAGCTTTCGACAATGTACCTATTCATGGATACGCTAGTTCTGCAGACACAGAGAGTTTGCGGAAGGAATGGAGGAAGATTCTTTCCGCATTCTCGTCCCATGCCTCTCTCGCTTCTCTGGCCATCGCCTTCTGTCCCTACGTCAGATATTCCAGGGCAACTTTCGACGTGGAAAAGTTCAAGAAGGGATTCCAATTCTCTTCAGAAACAAGTAAGAACGCCATTTCTCGTGATATGCACAGGCAATCCAAGGTGTCACATAAGGTAAGGAAACATTTCAAGACTTAATCTCTCTTAAGTATGCCTCAAATAAAATTATTAAAACAGTAAAATAAAGTCCAACTCAAAACATTTTTCAACCTGCAATTGCAATTCCACATGGGCACCATTTGTGATTTCTGTTGATGTCGATGTTTGATGTCTTACCACACTTGTAGATAGACATAGACATGTATTGTGCGGCAATAAGCATTGCATACACAGTAAAGAAACAAATGGGGAAAACATATAAAGGATATATTTATGGGGTGTTTGCAGAAAAGAAATAGTTTCTTAGGGAAAAAGCTTGACTCAGATAATAGACGAGCATTTTCTGTGTATTTTAATTGCTAGAGGACATTAGCGATTCGAACATCTGCGACTGGGATGTTGCCAGAAATAGTTGGGTAGGTTTTTATGAATAAAGTCAAATGCTGGGCATATGAGAAGAAAATGGTATTCATCTTCCACCTCATTTAATGAGCAAATAGAGCAGTGTCTTCCAGGGTCATCCTCCAGGTGCCAATAGTCATGACCTTATAGCTTATGCATTCCACCATGAAAATCAGCAATCAGAAAACGTGACTGTGGGTTCATATTCAAGTAGGGTTCAAACTGTGGATTCTATTTAAACAAACGACATGTATTATATCTGGAGGATGAGTTGATGATTTCAATCCCGTTCTGTCAATGTCATTCAGCTTCATCTTAAATTCGCAGAGAAACTGTTTCGGGTGTACTCCAAGCCCCTGAGACGTCCAGATTCCGCCAAATATAATTTCGCCAAATATAAAAATAACTCCCGTACCACACATTTTTCAGAGTATTAGGCATAATTATCAGGATAGCTCGGACGATTCTGTTCTTTGGATTGCTTGTCTACTTTTCTCCAGTAAGCGATGTCCTTGACATAACTCACAAGAAAAAGTCCTCAACGGTTAGTTCAGATGATCTTGGTGGCCATGGAGTGAACCTGCTTTGTCCAATCCACAGATCTGTTTTCTTCTCCATGCCTTAGCTTGCTAAAATGTGGAGTTGCAACATCTTTAAAAAATTATTCTTTTAATGTGCCTGAACCCATCCCTATTGGATTTTTCTTACTATTATAGGACTATGTCATGCAATTTGTTAACTTCTCTTGATTAAGCAATCTTCAATCTGATCTGAAAAACATAATTGATGCATCTATCGAGATAGTTATACATGACACTTTAGGTAAGTTGTGGTAATTGCTTGAACTTCGTTTGGACGTATACAGAGCCACAAATAGTGCCCATGTGGAATTGCAATAACAGGTTGGAAACTTTTTTAGTTGCACTTCATTTTACTGTTTGTTTTCATAATTTTATTTCAGGCATAATTTATTGAGAAATTAATTTTTTGAATGTTTCTATACCTTTTGGGACACCCAGAATATCCCTTTCCGACCTGGGGTCAATTCCAATTAACATTACATTTTCATTGTGTCTATGGGAAATTCTAGGGATTCTCATTAATTTGCGCTCCATATTACCCAACAATGGACGCAATTATGCATAGCTCAATTCCATCGGGGGCCTTCTTTCACCCGTCCGTTTTTTAATCTTCAGTTATCAAATTAAATGCATAATATATTATATATTGTATGATATGATAAATTCATGCTAAATATAAAAACGATATATAAGACATAACATTTTTTAATTACGATAGCGAAGGAACTAAAAAATGAAAAAAAAAAAATTATTCCAATAGTACCCTTAATTCAGGTCTGAAAGGGATATAATAAATTTCTCCGAAATCCTACGGTCTCTCCAAAAATTAGCTTTCCGACGAATTTTTCAAGATTGAATTCACGAGACGGACTCATCCTCGTGATTAACTCGTGATTAAAGCAGGTATGCATGCATCCTGTCGTCGTGTTAGACAACGACTGGATGCATACATATCAAGTCCTACCTATGGGGGAAATCCCGAAGGAATCCACTAATTTGAGTTGTTCTCGTTGACAGAGCAATCTTCACCCTATAGGAGCTCCCGTATATGTATTGCAAGACATCTAGCGGAAAGAAGTGAGAATGTAAAGATCATGAATCGACTATTAACATTGGCATTCGCTCACAGAGCATATCCTCTGAACGTTCGCCCTGTAAAGGAAAATCACGCCTTTCTTGCCAATGTGTATGATCTTCCAGGAATATGATGTCCGCTCATGGCATCGAGAAACTATCGAGGCGAATTTCAGGCTCACCAAAGCAAAATAGCGATTTCTCAGCTTTCAACATTGCCAAGCTAGTACTGAAAATTTCAAGTGTGAATTTCTGCATGAATGGGGAAGGGTAGTCTTTTAGGGAGTGTTTTCTCAGTGAGCTATGTTTTCTCAAAAATACCTCAAAATCACTCTGCAGAAGAAAACTACGTTCAGGAGCCTTTCTCTATTCCAGTAAATTGCAGTTTCACTGATTTTAGGTTTCTCCCGTTGGTGATTGAATCATTTTGAGTAAGAGGTTTTAACGTTTTCCGCCTTATTTGAGGATACCTTTGCGTTCCTTACTCCACGATGTTCTGCTTCCCGTCTTAGTGCACCATTCCTTCAGCTGGCTCATCTAAGCCAGATTGTACTTCCACTTATTCAAGAAGGTTGATATTCTCCCTCGTTGTTCATCTCTCTCCCTCTCTTCCTCCTTCCACGATGCCAGGCGCAACTAAGTGATGGAAATATGTTCTTTAGGGAGTAAATATTTTGTCAATTTGAGCAGCAAGACCCTCTCAATTCCGATGATGCGGATGAATCAGTGCGTGCAGAGATTCGTAGCAGTTTTTCATAACGGGGTAAAGAAGGCATCATGCTCAACATATCCCTTTCATCCAACAGAGGAAATAATATGAAATCACTTTCAACCTAGAAATGAAACCTTCAACATCTGTTACGCGAAGCGATGATATCTATGGGATTTTCGGGAGTGATTTGGAGCCTCAAGGGTACGCACTTAGAGCTGAAGATCTCTGGTTCTTCCGGAATATATGAATGTGTAAAACTGGCAATTTTTTCGTTTACTAAATTATGGCAAACATCCTTGATTATAAACCCCGCTTTAACTTCAAATTTGTCTGCTATAGTAAGAGCTATGTGAGAACGAGGGAGATATGGATTGGGTAATATTATCCCAAAATGGTACTTTCTTTCCTTTCATCCTCCAGAGCCCGGATTTTCATTCAGAGCTGACAGATGTGAAAAACGTACCCAACCTACCCATTATTTCTTTAAATTTTTACATCAAAATGCGTTTCTTTGCTTCAAACGCAATTTTCCAAGAAAGAAAGGAGATGAAAGAAATCTAGGTCCTCAAAGTCTTGAGGAAACAAGAGATGACAAGCGATTTCTTCGAGCGAAAGCGTCATTTTCTTCATGGTAAACTCTGACCGCGACTTCTCCTCACGCTTCCTCAGGCTAATTCTCCGTTTGAGCATGCAAGAGAGTGAATGAAACATTATTTTCGACTCAAACCGGCCACCCTCTGAAATCGGATAGTTTAGAAGCAAAAAAAATTCATTTCGGAAATAGAACTGATAAAAATGCGAATGCTCCCTTCCTCCATATTTGCTGCAACCTACCTTCATTCCGAGCTTAGCAATGCTTTTGGACTACTCTTTCTGAAATAAAGGATGGCTATATCAATTATTATCTAGAAACCCCGAGTAATTTTAAGCTAATAATTGATTTATTGAATTTACGTGCGCTAAAGAATATTTCTTCCATGGAGCGACAGTTGAATCAGCCGTCCATACGCCTGAGCTGATTAAGGGTCATTTTGCGTTCTGTGCCTCGGATTTTACGTTTTAGTGATGATATATACTGTATATAGTGATAATAAAACTTTAACTAGCAACCTATTCAAATTTGCCTTAGTTTTTATCGTTTTCCCTTCTTTCCGTTCGACAGAGGTGAAGATTCTGGAGGGATGTCGAGATGTGGGCTTCCCCAGTCTCCTTCGCTACGTCCTCTCCCACGAATCTCCCCAAGAACTGAAAGTGAAACCGGGGACCCTAAACACTCGACCTCAGCCTTCTTCCCTCGTATTCGGAGAGAAACCCACACTGGTGACCCCTCCTGTTGGCTTGCACTACCATGGAGGATGGAAGTGCATTGGTGGCCGTGGGAGAGGATGCATTGCCGTAACCGCTGCTTCCTACTTTCACTCCCAACCTCACGTATGTCCTATCTGTCGTTTCTTCACCCGTCTCGTGACACTGCGTCGACTAAAAGCCTCCCAATCTTGTTGAGTGGAACTATGCACATGTAGCGTGGGAAGGACAGAGGAGGTATCTTGGGTTTTCGAGGATATTGATGCGTAATGGCTCTAGGAAGGCTTCAGCTAGAGCGATTTTAATTTTACATTCATTTTGGAAGAATTTTGGAATTGATGATACACTCCATCTATTTACCTCTTAATTATACTCCATCTATTCACCTCTTAATTATACTCCATCTATTCACCTCTTAATTATACTCCATCTATTCACCTCTTAATTATACTCCATCTATTCACCTCTTAATTATACTCAATCTATTCACCTCTTAATTGATTATACACGTGGGAATCTAACAAAGATGCCAACGTATGCATAATCTACAGAATAAAATCAGATTATCATTGCGTTAAAATTGTTTTGGAAATGTCTGAATTTACATGATAAATGTGTATGAAAGAGTAAACGTGTTTTACCACCAAAGCTTTAGAAAGTTGCATTGCATTCTCTTGGAAGTGTTTTCCCTTGTTGTTCACAGAAGTTTCCACTTCTTTCGCATGTAATACGAATGTATACGGTTAAGGGTCCGGCGTTGGAAGTCCAACCCAGAACCTACCTTTTTTTCGCCTTAATTGCGCCGCATAAACATTTGTTTCAATATTCTCCCGAAAATTTCGTGAATGCAAATTATGGAATGGCACTTTTAAGTGGATAAGTTGTACGAATGTAGTTCAAGAGAAAAAGTTACGATGCTGGAAATCCATCAAATGAATGCATTTACAGTGCAATATATGCCTTACATTTCATTGTAACATTGATCAACATTTTGGCACTTGTTCCACTGGGCTATGAAGTTCTGAGTTCTTGTCACATCGAAAGTTTTAGATTGATTTTGAAGCCACTGTAGGTCGGCCGCCTTGACCTCGTTGTCCGAATTGAAGTGCCAACTTTCATCTCTAACGCATGATGTTGCAGCCTGAGCTGATGCAAATTTTCAAGGAAGAGGTCAGTTATTGAAACAGAAACTCTGCCATATTTTCTGATCAATTCCTCAGCATGACGAATCTGGTTATTTTCCCCTGCATGCTTTTCCTGACCATGTGAAGAATCGAAACCGCTCACAGCATTTATGGGACCATCTCACGTTACAGTTAAAACAATACACTGTATCTGTACTCATTTCATCGGTGATGGCTTCTTCCTTTGGGCACAAAATTATTCTAAGGGAGCGTCGGTCTTGTACAAATGTACAACTCGTGAGCTCTTGCACCATATTAATGACGATGTTGTGCAATTGAATACTGGGCCTGTCCAGCCTGCAATATCTCTGTTCAGATGTTCTAGACTAGAAATACATGTATAGTTAATGGCATCCGATACATCTGTTTTTCACATGCCCTGACCACATTTGAAAACTTTTCAATTGAATGCCCTCATTCATTGTATTTTTGAGCACTTCAAAGTAATTTGTATAACGGCCGAATAACACGTAACTTCACGTATTTATCAATACATATAGAGGAGCACCCAGCGACGTTATGTCTCAGACATGAATTGTAGATAACTTGAATTAATCCCCTTAATTCATGTTTGTATATGTATCCTGATGTAATGGGAATCAATATTTTGATTCCAAAACGGTCAACAATATCCGATTCTTTGTCAACTAAGAACATGTAAATATGGACATTTCCTCATGCTCGAAATCCGGAAAATTACGGTTAAGGGGCCTAAACTCTAAATCTGACATTTAAGCGAAAGATCCCTAACTTTATTCGCATAAGAAAAGCCTGCTTCAAATATTCTTGGAATAGCCATACTGACCCTTCCGCATTGACACCTTCAGGTAGCCACTCGAAACCTTTAGTTTCCAACCCGAACATAACTCCCAACTAGCATTTCAAGATCCATTTGTAAGACCCTACCATGAATTTTACTTATATCACTCAATTCCATCTTGGTGCTACAGTTTCAATGTGCAACTAATATCGTTCAGACAATTTAAATTGATTATGGGCAAACAATTTGAAGGAAGTTCGCCTCTCCTTGAAGTACTCTGCTATTCTTGTTAAAAGGGAAGCATTGTGGTGCTAGTCTCGGACAAAGAAATCCAGCAGATCTTCACTGAAGCTCTCAGGTTGATGGGCTCGAAGGTTGGGTCAACAGCCAAGGAGGCACCACAGATCTATGAAGTGAAGGATTACCGAGGCTGCGAGAATTCTGGGGTGATGTGCGTGGGGGTCGAGGACGCATGGATGGTGGAGGGGATCTCGAGAGCAATCCAGTTCCTCTTCGTTGTCGACGGTGGAGCATCTGCTGCAGCACAAAGCCGGATGGCCCTCTGGATGGAGATGGAAAGAAGAGGCCTCCTCCTCCATCGCCCTTTACCATCTTCCAATGCCCTTGACACCCTCTCTGATGAAGACTGGAAAGCATTGAATCAAATAAGCCCCTTTCTACAGGTGCTTATTTTTTAAGTCTCATGGCTTTGAACTCCACTCCCAAACATCTCGTGTCTATTGTATTTTTCTATTTTCGTGAAAAAAGGAGATAGGGTAGTTATGTTGTATGTGTTCCTCTCTCCAGATTCCTAAGGATACGTGGATGGATGAAGATGCAGGGAGAGAGATTTCTTCTTCAGAAGGTAATTCCTTTCCAGTAACCAGTCCCACATCACCGTCCTTCCTAGTTGAAATATTAGAAAGAACGAATCGATGAACAATGAGGGGGAATGGAAATGCAGAGCTCGCTAGGGGAATGAAAATAATTAATAGTTATAAGTGCCATGAATAGTTATCCTCGCACTGAGCAAGACGGAAGGAGATTCCTCGCTTATTTTGGCCTGGATGACAATACAAAGCAAAGTAGGGAAGGGTGTCTTAGCTCATCATAGAAGTCAAGCGTCTCTGCTGGAACGTGGATCCGTATACGTTTATCAAAGTACTATAAGCTATGTAATTAATTCCCTCCTTTCAAAGAGATTTAAAAAATACTGACTGAAAAAAGTCATAATGGTGGTTCAATTGACACTCGATGTTAGAAACTCAGTTGGACAGGCAAAATAATTTAATCATGATAAAAATTCGTTAAAGGAAATTCCCAACTTTTCGCATTTCTTTTCGTGAAAGTCGAGGATCCTCTCCGTTAACGCGTTTACGTGCCGTTGGCGCTTTATGATTAAAGAAAATCACTAATGCATTTAGAGCATCATTTTTCGAAGAGCACCCCTCATGATGCGGTCAAACTCCTCGGTTAATGGGTTTGTAATTCTCGAACCTACGGCGCTCGCACCTTAAAATTAAAATTTTAATAGAAAAATATATATATACGATAACAGACATGAGCTTATTAACCTCATGAAATTAGCGTTCTAGCGCGATAAATCCTTGTAGACTATGTTGACTGAACATCATAATATTCATGTCTATATTTGAGCAAAAGGACTCCAATGAAGTTCCACTTTAAAACTGTTCCTAAGATTCTATATAATTTACCATGAGTAAATACATTATTCCGTAAATGCAACCCATAGCTTTTAATGTTCCCTTTTCGTTATGACATTGACAGAAATGACATTGGCCTACACGTCCGTATGTGGATTGGCCATAGGCACACTAAATCACAATGTCTAAGGAAAATCTTCCTATCCGTTTCCTTGGTAAAATAAATATACTGTGTATAATCTTTCGCATCCATAACAGAACCGATACGCTTCAACACACGTCCTTCCAACTGGCATGCGAGCTAGAAAGGCATAGGCCAAAAGACTCACGCCCTAAGCTAAGGCAGCAAGATTTTCGATCAGATAGGCCAATAATTTTCTGGATGTGAATGGGTCAAGATCGGTGTAGACCTGACTGTCCGAGAGTTAGATATAGGCCTGCTAAATCAGTCTCCTTAGGCACGCACCGTAAAAGTCGAACTCTCTCTGGAGTAGACAACATAGCAGCCATTCACGTTTCTTCCAGTTTCGTAGAAGAAAGTGCGTGAAAGACAACGGCATAAGCCCAAGCGTCCGTCCCTAGGTTAGGCCTAGGCTCACAAAGGCAATCCCTCATATATCCATGTCCCCCCCCCCTAACCAGTCCACCATATCTAGATCACGCCAGTAACTCATGATCATCAATATTCATGGTGTCTATTTAAAAAATTAAACTTTTGAAGTTCAATATCTCCGGAAGGGAAAGGCATAGGACAGTGAAATGGAGGGATACTCATGGGATTTTATTTGAGACTGTTTTGCAAAATATTTTAAACTTAATTTTTTCGATATTTGCACTCTTGGCAGAATTGAACCACTACTGAAAGTATGTAATAATTTTCGGTCATAGATGGAGAAGTAATGACTTTGACTAAGAAGCAGAGAGGCGAACTCTGTGCTGTGTGGTATTTTCGTAATTTCAACAATAGCTTCACACTAGTTGTAAAAAGCCTTATTAGTTCGCCACTCTGCTTCTTAGTTGAAGTCATGACTTCTCCATCTATGACCGAAAATTATTACATACTTTCAGTAGTGGTTCAATACTGCCAAGAATGCAAATATGGAAAAGAAAGGTATTTTTGCGAACGAGTCTCAAACAAATTCCATGGCCTTCTGAGTATCCCCCTAAAATGTCATTGTCCTATGCCTTTCCGTTCCTGAGATATTGAACTTCAAACGTGTAAGCTTTTTTATGGACACCATGTATATTAGATGTATCTAAAGAAAAAATGAAATAAAAAGTTGCATTTCCTCTTCCCTTATTCTACTCGACTCCTCCTTCCTGGAAGGTTCTCAACTTCAGTTGAGAAGGTTCTCAACTTCTCAGATTCAGTTTCCCTTGCAGGGGCAACAAGGATTTTCGCCATGGGGGGCAGAGACGGGCGATCAGGGATGTGGGAAGTCTCCAAAAACACCCTCTGGGTCCACGAAACGATTTCCTTATTGGACGTGTTCCTCGCCCACTCTGACATGTTGATCCACGGAACAGGGCGAGGAGTCGGGATTCTTCATCTGAAGGGGAAGGATCCCAGCGAGGCCCCTCACAAATGGGACTACAAACTCCAAATCCACCCTGCTTTTATCGTGCTTGGGGCGACGGGGGTGGGATTTCAGGACTCTCTCTTCCTCGTGGGAGGGGAAAGCAATCCCCGCGAAGGACGCCAATTGGATCTTCAAAGGCAAACTTGGATGAAACTCCCGGAAATGACCGAGAAGAGAATGAGCGCAGCTATGGTAATGTGTGACCCCAACACCATCCTGGTCTTCGGAGGGATGGACCCCGAAACGGGTATATTCCTCTCCAGCTGCGAGACTTTGGACGTGAGAACGGAAAAATGGTCCTCCTTTCCCCTAAGTATCCCCCTTCCCGTTCAAGGTCACGCAGCGTCCCTCTACGATGGTCATGTGTACATCTCGGGGGGATTCAGTGATGTTGAATCTCGGGGTGAAGTGTGGAGGTGCAGCTTGAATGGGGGAGGGTCCTGGGACTCGCTTCCCCCCTTACAATTCAAGAGACATTGCCATGGGATGATGGGATTTGGCACAGGGAGACTCCAAGTCGTCGGCGGGATAAGTCAAAAGGAATCAGAGTGGGCGAAGGTCCTTTCGACGGAGACGCTGACCCTGGATGGAAGAAGTGAATGGGAGACCCAAGAGAAACTTCCCTTCGACGTAGTGTTTCATGCGAGTTCGATGTAGTTCGTCAATGGACAGTGATCCCCTTCCCTCATCCCGGGTCCCCTTAATCTGACGTGGATGAACCTTGCGCAAAGACGGGAAAACATGTAGTTCTCCGGCACGAGACACATTTTCCATTCATTTCCCTTCCTATGTCCTTCTTCGCAAATCCATACTACGTGTGACACCGCGATCGAACGAGCGTTACGTACGGATCAAGGACGCCAAGAAGGGATGATGATGCCCTTCAAGCTTTCTACTGCCTTCCTCCTGCTGAGGAGAAGAGGAAGGACGTCGTCCGTTTCCAAATAACACATAATCTAAAATGACCGTGTAGACACATCAGCGGTGAATTTCATTCCGTGGGTCCTCTCGAGTACTTTCATGTAATAAAATTCTCCTCTATCTCTTATTCTAGAGCTTACTCCAAGTATTTTTTGGAAATTTCCGATGCTACCTTGTAAAAATTTCCGACTCAGAACATGTCAACCTGCACTTCTCCCAATACTCGGAAAATATTTCTTGTCTTTCTTCAGAAATTCCTCTTCTTCTTTGCGGAAAATTCCCATTCTTTCCGAAGTATTACGGCTCAAGGACCTAATTTCGTATTCCGATGCTTGAGTGGATAATCCTTTTCCTCATTTGCGTCGGGAGAACCTTCGTGATCATTCGAAACCTTCCCTATCGACACCTTCGGGAAGCTACCCGACACCTTTAGTTTCCAAGCCGAATGGTAGGTGACTCCCACTAACACCCGATATCCCCGATTACGACATCGTAATGCTTCGAAAAAAGTACAGTTTTCCATTCTCAAGAAGAAAGGTAATTCGTGTGCATTTCCCTATCGGATACAAGGGAAATGAAGAGCATCACAAGTTTCTCCTCTTCGTCAGGAGAACTGCTCTGAAATGATGCACCGAAATTATCTTCATTTCCTGGCTCCTGGCGGCCCGCACCTCATTAAGAGAGGAAAGTGTAGATGTACCGTAGGTCTCGCTCTTACTCGAGGGGTCTTCTAACTCTTTCTACTCGATCATCCATTCAGCATTGAGTTCTAATTAGTTTCGGAATCGACAATCTCATTTTATCTCCAACGAATAACTCGACTTATTTCAATATGAAACGGTTATCTCATTCGTCAAATCTCAATTTCTCGCATCTCAGCACATTAGGTGAGTTTCCTTCGATTCCTGAGTTCATCATAGCGAAAAAGACGAATTTCACTGCAGATACCTGGAAACATGGTGGGAGATGCTTCTAAATCATTCGATTACTCCTCAACCGACAGGTAAAAAGCTTCCCAAACGGTTGCAAAATGTGTGTGCCAAAAGTGCTCGCTCATTTTGCCCTCATTGCAAAACGAGTTTCCATTCGAGGAATCCTCAGCGGCACCTGATCAGGCCAAATTCAATGTATGCTATATGATAGCATGCTTAAAACACCTTTGTTATGACAAAGTTTCGTCATTCTATGGCAGGTGGAAAAATTTAAAGACGACAGACATGTAGTTGAGTGAAATTCGACTGATACATCGGATATGTTTTTTTTCCAACCACCCTGCACCTTAAGGACCGAATTTGCAGCGGAAGGAGAATAAACACACCAAGAAAAATGGGATCACAGGGCATAATTCTTGTCTAGTCGAGGCCGAGTTCCTTCCACGTTCAGTCCCACTGAGTCGGCCTTGAAAAAGGCTTTACAGCTGGTAACAGCTACTTCAGGAGTCCTTCTCTCGAAGACGTCTCTCTCTTCATCCCTCCCTCCCCCTCGTCCTCCCAGGGTCTCCGCTTCCTCGAGTCTTATCCGTGCAGCCATGTG